GGGGGGCCGCTCAACTTCGCGGTCCTCCGTCCCGGGCAATGGTCGGGTCGCCTCCCCGCCAGGGAGAAAAAGCGCGACCACGACACGCCCGAAAAATTGGGGGTCTAGGCTCTCCGTGAGCGGGGGCGCCCAAGGGCGAAGCCGTCCCATCTCCATCTTGTAGGGGCGCTCCCATGGATCCCTGTCCAGAGAGTCGAGGAGATTCTTCCACGTCTGGGCCATACCCTGTTTGATGGTCAGCTGCAGGGCCACGACCTTCTCGCGGTAGGCCCGATACAGCTGGGCAGCCCTCTCCAAATCTACGCGTCGTCGCCGACAGGCGCGGGCATACTGGCGTCGCGCGCGTATGCATTCAATACGTAAATCCGCAATGTCGTGCGACCACCAGTACACCGCCTTCCTCGGGTGGACCCTGGCCCGGGGCATAGCGGCGTCACAAATAGACGTCACAGCGCCCCGGAGCCATTGGGCATCTGCCCGTCGACAGGCCCGGTTGGACGTTCGGGGCAGGCCACAACTAGGACTGCCGCCATCAGGGCGTCCTGATCGAGCTTCTTTAAGGTCCATCGCGGTGGCGGCTTTGCCGCCACTGGGCGGCGTTGGGGGGCACTGGGCGGCGTTGGGGGGCACTCTGGTCGGCGGAAAGGCCGATGACCACGTACCTGTGGTCTGATAACGATTCAGCCTCTCCCGCCACTCTCCACCCCGAAATAGGTCGCACGGCTGCGAGGGAAGCCCATGAGAGGTCTACAATGGACCTCCCATTTTCCCGCACGCATGTATGGACGGAGCCCATATTAAGCAAACGGAGCTCCAGTCCAACCCCCCAGTCGATAACTTCATGGCCCCTTGCGTCGGTCCCAGGGGACTCCCAGGCTTGAGCCTTAGAGTTAAAATCCCCCAGGACTAGCAGCGGGCGAGGAAGACAGCGTGAGATGCATCTCCCAACCTCGTCCAGATACCCTTCGAAGATCGCAAGGGACCAGCTCGGCGGCGCATATATCACCACCACCGCGATACCTCCCTAATCTGCGGCCAGGAAACCCCTACCGCGTTCTAACAGCGCCAGCGGCGGGGTTCCCGGCCTTCCATTCCACACAATGGCGGCGGAGCACAAAAGGTCCCCCATCCAGTATGGATGATCGGGGACTCTACGGCTCCACCACCACTGCCAGCCCGGCACCCCACTCGACCAGGGTTTGCATCAGGGATTCTGTGTCCTGGCCGAGTGGTTCAGATTTACTTGTAACGTTCACATTACCCTGACGGGACGTGGGCTGATGCTATCTGACAAAATATGCGTTCTGACGCGTCAGGACGCTTTCTAAAATTCTGTTTTCCATTGTTAAGAGATAAACTAATTTCAAAAACGTTAAAACTGCACTAAAGAGTATTAAAGGAATTTCTAGTTAATTTATAAGAATTTATACGACCATTAATTTATACGAGCAGCTTTAAATATAATTGCTTAAAAGTACGAAAAAATGCAGTGAAAAGTATGAAATAATTTCATTATTACCAGATCTTGTAAAATTATTGAATAAGGAATTTTTATTATTGAAAAAATTAATTTATATAATTATTTACTTATTTATACCAATATTTATTTTAATTTTGACGAAATTGATTTGATTAGTTATTCTTCTTTCTGTAAATTTATATACATTAAAATTATTCATATTGATAATTATATGTTTAGGAGCTAACCCTTTTTATACAAAGTGGTTGAGCTTCTAATTCAAATTATTCGTTATTATGATCAAAGCATCTTATTGCTCAATCAGTTTTCTATGAGGTAAGATTATTTCTTATATTATTGTCCGTTTGACAAAAAAAGGTATTCTTCAGGTAAAAAATATCCGAATTATGTGATGTTTGATATTATTTTTATCGGAAAAACATAAAGAATCCATTGACATTACTTTTCTGACAATCTGATGAAAAATATAAACATTTTATGTATAGCAGTTCATCATTTTACGATGGACTGCCCTTCTTTTGTTCTCGGCCGAGCGCCTACCTGGGGTCGCTCAAGGGTCTGGGATCGAACGGGCCATCGACTCATCAATTTTTCATAAAATCGAATTCTTTATTCTTCATCGAATCTGCATGAACGTGATGGCATTGTATTCTTGGTGTTCTCCCGATTAAAATGATATCTCACATCGCGTAAATCGAACTATTTTTAACGAAATAACTTTTCAATTATGCAATCAGATTTTTCATATAATTTCGTTAATTATTGCCCAAACTATGTCACGTGTGGTATCATTTTCATTGCAAAAACATCAGAAATCGTTTGACGTTGTTTCCGCAAAGTTCTGATAAAACTTGCGGAGGTTGGTATTTTCATTTTCTAATGGCGTCTATCTGACTCCGCTTCATGTCCGACATGGACCCACGGAGCTTGCCCCGTCAGCGCAGTCTGTGGGACGCTTAATAAGTGGCCCGGGCGGAGCCGGCATTCAGAAGTGGAGCGAGGGTCTGCAGCCATACGTGGTCAGCCCACATTAAATTGGAGTCCGGTCTGGTCTGACCACGTATGGCTGCAGGCCCTCGCTTCACTTCTGAATGCCGGCTCCGTCCGGGCCACTTATTACTCTTTCAAAACTGCTCCGATTTGATAACGAAAGCGTGATTTAAAAAATCTGATTTTTTGAGGATCTGTTAATAAAGGCGTTGACGTGGGGTTACTCGTTCACTCTGCAGATAGGCCTGAAGTTGGAAGCAAGTTTAACAAAAAAAATCGACATTTTCGTATTTTACTGCCATTTACGCGGGATAAAGACATCAAAACTATGTCGCCGCGATGCCCTGGACTATTGGACACGTAATCCACGCAATGAAACAACGTTCCAACCCTTACACTTGGGGGTCGACCACTCCTCTAAGGGGTGCCTATGGGGTGCACGGTATGGGTGATGGCATTTTCTGGATCAGGGGAGTCCAGAGAATGCATTGAGTCCAAAAGCGAGACCGTCATATAAGAATTGTGGATTTTAGAGGAGGTGGGTTTGTCCGAGAGGGATTTCAAGGGGTCGCCCCAAAGGTTTTTTTGAATTTTTCAACCCCTTCCGTCATCCCTGGCCTGTTTCAAAGAGGCGTTTTTCTACACCCTCCCAATGCAACTTTACACGTGCCTAGGGGACACTTCAAAAGTACTCCTCACGCAGTTTCATTTCAATCGGTTGAAAACTCTCATAGTTACGACCGCGACGGTTTGAAAAAGTGTCCCGCTAATTGTTTGAAGCAGTGTATTTAACCCAGACATCGATCTGGAATCAGGCAAAAGGTTAGCGGAGTCTCCAGTTCCAAACATTGATTTTAAGTATAGGTTCCAAGACGGACGAAAAGAGTTTACCCACCTATTCACCGACAGATCTAAGATTAGTATAAACAACAATCACAGTGTTGGAGGAGCTATTTGGTGCGAAGACGAGAATTTCAGGGATAGTTTGAAACTGCCAGACTTTTCTTCCATTTTCACGGCCGAGGCAGTGGCATTACTGGAAGCAATAGAAATAATACAAAAAAGTGGACGTAACCAATGGAGAATCTTTTCGGACGCTCTCAGTGTATTAACAGCCTTAAAAAACAAAGCCAATTTTGCAAAAAAATCAACTATAGTTCAAAGAATTAAGGAAAAATTATATTTAAACTCAAAAGAAGGAAAGATCATTCAGTTAATTTGGATCCCAGTCCATAAGGGAATTACAGGCAATGAAAAGGCAGACATGGCAGCAAAAATAGCTGCGACATCAGGACACACAATTGATATGGGAATACCGTTCTCCGATTTGTGCCCAGTCGCAAAAGAAAAATTTAATAAAATGAATAATACTCAATTAATGAGAGAATTAGAAATAAAAGGGAAACGATACTTTGAAAACTTTTGTAAAGACAATAGTAAACCTTGGTTTCATAAAGAACGTTTATCAAGGAAAACAGTAGTTTTAATAAACAGAATAAGAGCCAATCACATCCGTTTGAAGAGTAACCTATTTAAAATAGGCATCGTTTCAAACCCGACATGTGATTGTGGACAAGAACCGGAAGAACTTAACCATGTTCAATGGAGATGCAACAAATTTAAGAACGAAAGGAGAATCATGAGGAAGAGTTTAGAGAAATTGGGAGTTAAAGGAGCTCCGTCAATCGAAGACCTATTGAAAAACATAGACTCTCGGATAGTAAAAATAATTACAAAATTCTTTTTCGACTGTGATATAGTTATATAACATAAGCACTAGGGATTTATATAGCTCAAGTAACGAGCCGGTATTTTTATAGAGTTCCTAAGAAAGACTGACTAACATGCAGTCACAAAACTACAGATTAACTATTGAAATCAGAGTGCGCAACTTAAGGGTCGCTCAGATTACTCTGACGTGACGTGATCCCGCGTCATAAGACGCGTGATATGAAAATCTAACATAGAGTTTTGCATGGCGACGTTCACATTAATCTGACGTGACGTGGGCTGACGCCATCTGACGCATCGTCAGATTAATGTGAACGTCGCTATGCAAAACCCTATGTTAGATTTTCATATCACGCGTCTTATGACGCGGATCACGTCACGTCAGAGTAATCTGTGCGACCCTTACGGATAACTAGCAATAAGGAAACAAGGCTGTATACATTTTAGTTGTAAGCCAATAAACGTATTAACCTACATTTTTACTAACCTTTAATATATATCTTAATAACTAAACGTGTTTTAATAATTCTCCTGGTAAACCGAGTTCCTTCTACATATATGTATCTATAGGCAGCTTGCTTGTTTTATTTGCATAAATTACATCATTTTTGTAATTACTCATTTGGTTGGAGTGAAAACGCGTTATTCACATTTTTATTCATAAATTTATTCATATTCATATTCACAAATCCGCATGATGTGAATATACTCATATTCATATTTATGGACATGAATACTCTCATCTCTGAAATGAAGAAGAAGAACGGTCCACGAATTAATGTTCTGCATTTGTTTTCAGATTGTGTTGCAATCCCGCGACTACAATGCCCTGTCGATGTCCGTAATGGCGTTCGTAACAATGATTTACCCTCTGGAGTACATGTTCCCTGCAATACCGTTGTTACCCACGTGCATGAGCTTCGCGGAACAGTTGTTGCTTGCACCGACACCATTTGTTATCGGAATACCCGCAACTTTTTTATTGTACAAAACGAACTTTAAAATGCCCGATGACATATGGCTAGTGGATCTAGACAGCAATAAGATAAACGCACCCACTGGCCTGGGCGACCAGTTGCCACCGTTGCCCGAGCCAGAAGGCAGCATACTAAAGAACCACTTGAGACAGGTAAATAAGAACGATTAACCGAAATCACGGAGAAAATCTATTCAAGCGAGAAATAAACGATCGGCGCGGTTGTGAACGTTATTAATTAATCCCTTGCTCCTCCGTTCGGTTCTGCAGGCGATGCAACTGATGGACCAAGCTGGCTCTGGTGTAAATATTTTCACTACCAATTTCTGCATGTAGCGTTTAGCTCTCACGTCCTTGTGTTGTAGTTAGCGGCATGGAGATTATATATAATATTTATATTTCTTTTTTTTTCTTTATATATATACATAGAGAGAGAGAGAGAGAGAGGTTCACAGAGTTTTCTATTTTGACTATTCGAGGGAAGGTAACGTTTTTTGATTGAGCCGAGAGAGTCACAAATGGTATGGTTGCTCCTTATTGTGGGGATTGTTCAGGCTTTGGGTTGGGTCACCAACAGGAAATTACAATTTTATAGCAAACTTTGGGAGGAGTTTTGTTGATTTTGGTAGAAATTATTCATTTCCTGGGTTCTCACGAGGTAACTAAAGTTTGACAAGAAATTTTGTAAGGATTTTTGTTGATTTTATTAGAAATTCTTCATTCTATGATTCCTCACGCAACTAAAATTTGACATAAAACTTTGAAAGGTGTTTTGTTGATTGCATAAATAATTCTCAATTCTTTGGGTTCTCGTAAGGAAACTAAAATTTCACAACAAAAATTAACACAGTAAGTTTTATTATAACATTCTAATTCTCTGTTGGGTTCCTAAAGGAAGCTTCGAAATAAGGAAAGCAACGTTTGTGAACGTCCTAGACAATCAAACACGAATTGTTCTGTGCACCTTATCGATGCCACCCACAGAACGCGAACCATTAACTTGATTTTATTGTTTAACTCGATGAAGAAGAGCTTGGAATAGAAAAGGAACGTGTAGGAAGCCTGGCCATAGAGTTAGATCGATTAGACGTAGTTGCTTCAGTGATAACGCCGAGAGGAGTTTCGTTCGAAGGCTCTAATTAGGGAATCGTTTCAATTGCTTCATTAGTCGATTCTTTTTTCAGGCAATGGCTAGCATGACTCCGCAATTCCTGCCGCAAGACAATCCACCGCGAATGACGCTTCAGACTCCCAGCAGGAGGGAGAGCATGTCTTCTCATCTCGCCAATTTGAAGTAACTTTTTATACAATATTTTAAGAATAATTCCAAGCAAAAAAGACTCGAAATTTCAACATTTAAATAAAGTTTAAATGTGGCGAAAAATTCAGATCAGTGATACTGCTCTTGTAAGAAAATGACCAAACCAAAAACAACCATCGCCACAGTGATTCAAATGACCCGAAAACCCGGACAAAATATAAGGAATCTTCTGATTTGTATGAAACTTCGTATACTGGTTTTTTTTAGTTCGCTAATTACAAATCTGTAATCAAAATTTTAAAAATGAAAATGGCGGATCCAATATGGCCGACTTGTATGCCAAAAAGTTAGAACCAATGTAGTTGGAACCAATTATGGTCTCATTATGATCACAAACCTCTACTGCATTTAATGACACCAAAATAAGCACCGGGACGCACAGGGAAGTATAACAAATTCCTTAATAAAGTTTTAGAATAAAAAAAAAATAATTGAATTCTTGATTATTTTTAAAATGTAATAACTATGTACATATGCATAATTAGAAAATTCTAATTGCCATAAAGTATAGTATAGACCTTCCATAACATTTTCCATAATGCAAGAATGTATATTATGAAACGCTGTTTCACAAGATGGCTGACGACGAAATGTATACCACAAAAACTTGTAACTTTCGACGAAGCACACTACTTTATGAGTGCGCAAATGGAAAAAAAATGATATCGGCACATTATTCTTCACATATTTGACTACCTTGAGCAACAAAAAATTGTTGGCCTAGGTAAAATTTTAAAAATTTAATTTTGTCCAGGTTTTCTGGTCATTTGAACCACTGTGGCATCGTTCTCTATCTAACGAACTAAACCGCCTTTTCCAGCGTTTCCTCGATGAAACACAGACCCAGCGTCGACCACCACGGGCATCCTCAAGGCAGTCCACTGGGTTCTCCCGGCGCAAGCATAATGCCAGGACAAGGTCGTCGAGCCTCCCTCTCGCAATCGGGGGGTTCCTCGTCTCCCCAGAAACCTCCATCCCAGTCCATCCCTCCGTTCAACCCCTTCATCTACGCGAACGACGTGGACTCCGTGGACATCGCCACCAGAGTGGCGATGGTGCGGTTCTTCAACTCTCAGAACCTCCTGGCGAACTTCACCGAGCACACGAGAACTCTGAGGCTGTACCCCAGACCCGTGGTCGCCTTCCAGATCAATTCGTTCCTTCGTTCGAGGCCACGCGCCAGCCATTTCCTGAACAAATTCGCGCGAACACAGGCGGTGGAATTCTTGGCGGAGTGGTCTCTCACGCCCAGCAACGTGGCGTTCCTCAGGGTTCAAACCGGAGTGTTCGATCCGACTCAGATTGGCGACAAGCCCAAGTGGTACGCTTCCGGGCTGGAGCCTATCTACTTTCCTGTCTGGGACTCCGGTAGCTCGCTGGCGAACGCCCTGAAGGCCATGAAGGAACACGAGAGTCAGCCTACCGACGAAAGCGGATCGGACTCTGAAGGCGCGGAGAGCACTAGTTCCTCTTACTCTTCTCTGAGCGACTTCGTCTCTGAGATGGTCTCGTCAGACTTATCGCCCAGTAAGTAACTTGTAATTGTGTTCAAGTACTAGATCGTGGGCCAAGCGACTGTATTTTTTGGTTCTTCTGAGCAGATTGTATTCGAGGGATGCGTGGAAAACATTATAGATTCGCAGGCGAGTTTTATGTCTTGTAATTTATGAGCAAAATCGAATCTGGTAGAGTGATGACTAGATTGCGGATTTTATGGATTTATGATGTACAATAATGTATTAGATTGTCCCAAAAGTCTCTTTAAATATGTGATTCAATTGTGTGCAATACATTTTGCTCTGTTACTGGTATAAAATCAACTTCTAAGGGATACGGTTGTCTATATTGGTACACAGGTTGTCCCAGAATTAGTGTAAGAACCGGAAATAGGGGTTAGCTGAGACGATTCTGAACCACAATTTCCTTTGCAAAAATGTCAAATGGTGCTTCGTTTTAAACAAAATGATATCAATGATCTTCAAAACAAGGTGTTATAATTATTGGGTTTCCTTACGTAAAAAATGCCGGATGCTTAAGAAGAATGAGGATAAGGTTCTTAAAACGTGAGATGCACACTTCCCTTGAAAACATTTTATTCGAATACTTATTTAAGGGAGTGGACTCCCGTGCCTTGTATGCGCTCGTACGCACTCAACAGCTCCACATCACTGTATACGTACACGGAACTTCAAGGGCTTGCGTATTGTCCTATTTTTGTCTCGACAATGCAAATTTAAGACCTCTCAATAGTCGTTTCCGCTAGATAAATGTTCAAACTTGTGCGCAAGCTCCCATAGGTAGTCTACTTTTGCTTTTTTGTGTCATAATTAACAATATTCAACAGCGTATGTTTCAGCAGCGTTAGTTCAGACTTAAAGAGCTCCCTCTGCTTGAGCGTCGAGAAAGCACGACTTCATGCAGGGTTGCCAACCGGCTAAATTCAAGCCCAGTGTTAAATTGTTTCTTTCAATTTCAACACAAGAAAAGAGACATTTCGACATTATTCATTTCTATAATTCTGTAACTTTAGAAGCCAGTAGCTCTTGAACGAAACGTTTGTAAGCATACTTGTAGAGGAAATTCTTTTTGTTTTGGGGTCCTAAATTTATCCTTTAAGATTGGCCATTTATTCTGGGAACACCCTGTATAAACACTGCCATACAAAACAAATCACCTAACTTTTGGGACGACCTGATAGAAATCATACACAAAGTATACTATATAATACATGTTGAATATACAGTCAGTCCATAAATATTCGTACACCCTATGTTTGTTGAAGAGATTTGTTTCAATTAAACGATTGGTGTAATGTTTCCAAGTGTATGTTTGCATAAATATGTTCATGTATACAGGGCGTCACAAAAATGTTGGAATTCCTTGGAAGGGGTGGTTCGGAAGGTGATTTGAAACAACTTTTTCCTTAGCGAAAATGTTGTCTGGGGCTTCGTTAAGAAAAAGTTGTTTCAAATCACCTCCCGGACCACTCCTTTCAAGGAGTTCCAACATTTTTGGGACACCCTGTATACACGAATAAGCTTATTCATATACATATTTATAATGAAAAATTCATTTGGTAATATCGAAACTATTATTTCATTTAGGCAAACTTCTTCAATAGACACAGAGGATACGAATATTTATAGGATTGACTGTATTCTACAATTATTGTAATATCATTATTTCATTTTGGATAAGTGCACAATGTGCATACCTTTTGGTTATGCTTAGCATGTCAGTATTAAAATATTCTTTTATATCGTAAATGCATACAATCCCCAGTCTAATGACAAGTTGAGCTCCCCAAACCCCAATTTTACATGGACTATGAGATACTTCGTGTTAATAGCAGATTTGTATATTTGCCTCTTCTAACTACAAATATATTAGCAGGGATGGGATGTGTAAAACAATCTACTAGCACACACTTCTTTATAACTACGCAGCACGTCATTAATTTGTTTGTTAATTCATTTTCCCTAAAAATAAATCTGCACAACACATGCCAATGGTACCAACTTCCTTGGTACCATGTTACAACGATGATACCAACTTATGAAATAGAAATCCCTGTTTGTACTACTAAGACTTCAATCCCACTGCAAGTATCTTTCCTGTCAAAGCTTTAAATTTATGTGTCGAAACCCACGAAGGGTTTGTTTTGAACGAAGGAATAATTGTACAGGCTACAACTGTTCGCAAGTGGCGCAGCCCCAGCAGATGTCCCTGTCAGTGGACCCCAAGAACGTCTACAATCCTCCAAGCACATTGCAGTATCCTGGAGTGGAGGAGGAGTCAACCGTGAGGCCTGAGAGTCCACCCAGCACCTCTTCCAGTCACAGCGACCTGAGCAGTCCCAGCTTCAACAGGGACTCGGAGTTCGAACTGAACCCTAAGGCTCAAGAAGGCTCCCAATCGACCAATGTGAGTGCTCCTCACACTTTTCAACTTTCAACCTTTGAGCATCTTTATACAACTCACTTCTTTCTCGACCTGCTTAGAAACGAAATTCAAACGAAGACCACGACTACATTCGTAAAATTTTGCAATTTTTTCAATACTCCTGGCGTTAACGTTACTTTACTCGAAATCTACAGAAACGATCTTAACAAAATAAAGGCTGCACTTTACTTTGGCGGACCTAAAATTTTTAAGTTTTTTTTACATAAGCTTGTAAATTTTGGCGAGAAAAATCCGGAAATGCTAGTTTTAAGGCGAGGAATTCGCTAGTTTGGAAGTTATGAGCAGTTAAAAGTGGCATTTTACCGTATTTGACTGACACTTTCGACATCATATTATCTTGTAGCTATACCTTGTCGGTAAAACAGGTTGTCGGTGGTGGCGGACTACATTATGTACTACTTTTATATTGTTATAGCTATTTTTGAAAACTGCAATATTTCAAATTAACAGAGTTGGTTTTTACCCTAGAGTACGAATTCAACTTTTGAATTGCCTGTCAAATACGGTAAAAAAATTCTTTTCAACCTCGTATAACTGTGGACTGCTATGCTTCGCGTCTGCGACGGAAGAAAACTCGCAGAGGTAGATTAATAAATTTGAAAGCGGTCATTGAGTTTCCACAGATTCTCCAGACTCTTTCCCTCGCTATAATCACCGTTAGTGGCATGTTCAGCGCGTTAACCGACTACTTGACCATAGGATAAAGAGGAAGGTGGTAGCTTTGAGTCAGACTCTGCATCAACAATAACACCACGCACAATCCTGAGCGCACAAAGTTCGGTAGGACAGTTCGGAGTAGGCATGGGATCTCTAGCCACTCCGACGGTCAGCGACAGTGAACGTCCTGCCACCTCCCACAGGACCTCACGTGTCAGTAGATTTGTCGTTCCTGTGAGTCATCCTCCACGACAGTCTCAGTTTCTGCCTTCTCAGTGTACCCCACTATCGATTTACGTTTCTTTCTGATTGGCGAGCTGCATGCAGTAAGGGGCTGTTCATTAATTACGTAAGGACGATTATTGGTCATTTTTAACTTACTACGAGGTAAGGGTAACATTTCTCCACGTAACATTCCTCTCCCCTCTCCTTCTTCTTACGTAAGATTTGGACTAAAATCTTTCTAAAATTTTCTCTTGAATAGTTTAAAAAAGAATCTTTTAGTTGTTAAAGAATGCGTGTTATAATTAAAGGTGAGATTTGAAACGATTCTAAAGTGAACCAAGACGCTGTTTTCCAAAGAGTGCGATTTCAGTTCCAGAAAATTTAGGCAAATATACAGGGTGTTGCAAAAATGTTGTAACACCTTGAAAGGAGTGGTTCGGGAGGTGATTTGAAGCAACTTTTTCCTTAGCGAAAATGTTGTCCAAGACTTCGTTGAGGAGATATTAACGGAAAACACTGACCAATCAGAGCGCGCGTATACCGTTGGAGCGGCCGCGGTAGCGTATCAGCGCGGTCGCCTAGCGCGTAGCCTACGCCTATCCCGGCCGCTCTAACGGTATACGCGTGCTCTGATTGGTCAGTGTTTTCTGTTAATATCTCCTCAACGAAGCCTCGGACAACATTTACGCTAAGGAAAGAGTTGTTCAAATCACCCCCCGAACCACCCCTTTCAAGGAATTCCAACATTTTTGGGACACCCTGTATTTCAGAGTGAACTCAGGAGCGGACAGTAGAACAGTGCGTAGCGTAGCCGACTACCACACTGAAATCCTGGGTTCGAATCCTGGCCGGTTCGCCCTTGTTTTTCATGATTGGGTTAGGGCTGGCTAATAAAAATATTAAGTATGGAAAAAGCCTAGGACGAAAATAAGGAATAAGACAGAATACAATAGCAAATAAGGGCTAAATAAGCTAAATGATAGCTAAGCACTATAAACTCAACAAAAAAAAATATTTCTTGTACTCTTGTGACCACTTCCTTTGCATCACGTTATTTGTAAAATTCTCAACGCGATAGTAAATTACGTAAGAATATCAATATTATCTAAGAATGGATCTTAACCCCATCCCCCTATGACGTGAGATCATTTCAGATTTTTTAATCCATCTCATCCCCCTTTGAGACCCTTACGTAATGAATGAATGGCCCCTGACCATCAAGAGGCCACTCTGCCACGCGATGTCTCCAGCATGAAACCCCTTTCTTCGACGGTTTCCTTATCGCGTTATCGACAAGACCGTTTGTTTAATTTTGGAATTCTTTGCAAGTGAAATGAATTTCATTTTTGCTTCGTCGTTTCATTTTTCTTTCTTTTTCGAGTACTGTATGCATGTGTTTCGCACTTGGGAAATCACGCGGCACACTTTACGCTGCAAGAATTGATTTCTTTGGAGATGGATTGATTAAATGGTACCTTATCAATGTACTGAAATACACCGTTGGATATCGTTAACCAAGTCTGCATGGATCCGATCGACGAATCGTCGATTTCTCCGCCCTCGGCACTGTTTCAAGTGACTGTTCCTCTTTTGACGTGTTTGTCCCCTGTATCTGAGTGGATATACTAATAATAATGATTCCTGATGATAAATCGTAGGTTGTGAAAACTCAGAAATTTCTAGAGAATCAACGTATCGCACGCCATATTTTAAATGACGATATTTTTGTTGTACAGGGTGTGCAACGCAATTCATGCAAGATTGCAAAGAAGTTAAGCGGTATAATAAGTTGTATATTGCTTTTTTTTTATAACTTCATTTTGTCATTCAACATCCGTGGGAGATACGACACGTGCGAATTGCGTGATTCATTTTGTACAGGGTGTTCCAGAATTCGTGTAAGAATCGGAAATAAGGGGGTAGCTGAGATGATTCTGAACCACAATTTCCTTTGCAAAAATGTCGTATGATGCTTCGTTTTTGAATTATTAACGGAAAACTACCGACTAATCACAGCGCACAGCGCACTCTCAGTTGGCTACACTGCGATCTAGGGTCAGTGATGCCAACCGGGACGCATTTTATCGCGCATGCGCGGCCAGAAAGACCGTTAACAGTGTCGTATCCTTTGAGTGCATAGAGATAAAGGAGGAATTGCTTTGTTGAGAGAGAAAGGTATAGAGTGATATTCGTCCTCTCTGCGCATGCGTCAACATCGTACCTGCAGTGACCTGCACTTTTTGTATATATTTATAGAAACCCTGCACTTCAGTTTTATCAATTGTTGTAATAGATCGTTTTAATAGAAATGTATACTCAATACACGATATTCTCTAAATCTGTATACTGCATAAAAAAAAACCCAATAATACGCTTTATGTATATACAAATATACAGGGTGTCCCAAAAATGTTGTAACACCTTAAAAGGGGTGGTTGGGCAAGTTATTTGAAACTACTTTTTCCTTAGCGAAAATGTTGTTCGAGGGTTCGCTGAGGAGATATTAACGGAAAACACTGACCAATCAAAGTGCGCGTATACCGTTGGAGCGGCCGCAGTAGCGAAGGCTACGCGTTAGCCGGCCGACCAATCAGAGCACGAGTATGCCGGTGGAGCGCTCGCGGTAGTGTAGGCTACGCCCTAGGCGGCCGACCAATCAGAGCACGAGTATGCCAATGGAGCGCCCGCTGATTGGTCGGGGTTTTTTTTTAATATCTTCTCAACGAAGCGTAGAATAAAATTTTCGCTAAGGAAAAAGTTGTTTGAAATCACCTCCTGAACCACCCCTTTCAAGGTGCTACAACATTTTTGGGACACCCTGTATATACCCCTGAAGGGGCGCCAAGATAGTCTTGCCCGGGGCGTCAATATTGCTAAAACCAGCCCTGCTGACAATCCTCCTCCATGTCTATATACTCAAAGAGTTTTGCCAAGTGACGCTACTGGTTGTACTTATACTGTGCCCTTACCTTCTACTTTCCCTATGCTTCCGCATCTCATTCTTACCCACGTTTCCTTTGTCTTTCCTGTCAAATCGTTATCTTCCCAGTATGTCTCTCCTGCCATACTTGTTTTTCTCTCCTTATATTCCCTGCAGAAGCGCGAATTCTCTATCTTATACCAGTTATTATTAGACTGCGGATCTTTATGCAAAATAAAATCTTTGCGAACGTGCCTACAAAAATTGAACCTAAATAGGAATTTATTTTATTCTGCAAATATTATAATATGAACTTTACTTTCAATCTTTTTTATATTCTTGCATATTGTTTGCATTTTTTTAGCTTCATGCACATTCAAATTTCCTATAAATGCATAAAAATTCGCAGTCTAGTTATTATTCATATATTTGCTACACTTTTATATTGTCTTTATATATTGTCCTATCTTTATCCTTAAATCATGAATATATTTGTAAAATTATAAAGGGGTAATTAAGACACCCCTTTCTAGTCGAGCTGATACTCCATTGGCGCTATGTTCGCCGCGCATGCGCGAGAAAACGCGACCCGGCTGGCATCACTGCCTAGCGTGGCCAGCCAATCCTGGTTCGAGCCTATGCTCTCGCGGCTGAGCGCGCGCTACTTGGACGTTGTGATTGGTCGGTGGTTTTTCGATAATAATTCAAAAACGTATCGCCATACGTCATTTTTGCAAATGAAATTGTGGTTCAGAATCGCCTCAGCTACCCCCCATTTCCGGTTTTTACACTAATTCTGAGACACTCTGTATAGTTCGACGTTTCAAAAATGTAAACACCCACATTCCCTGGAAATGAACGCGCAAATAATATTTATATGCGACAAGTTTGCACATCCGTTGGTATGAGTACTATTTAGATATCTGTGTTGAGGTTTCATAAGTCAAGACAGTGGTTTCCAAAGAAAACACAACAAATTCCAGTTCCGAAAAATTAGAAAAATATTTTTTTGGATCCTCGTGAGCAATTCCTTCGCATCGCATTATTTGCAAAATTCCCTATATGGTAACATTCATTAAATTAAAAAATCTTTCACATTTAACGACTAATTTTGAATTAAGTAAACTAAACTAAACTAAAGTAAACTAAACCAGTTTCTATATTAGTTTTGGAAACCACTGCTCCGAAAATATTCCTAGCATCCAAAATTCGTGACGAATACCTGAACCCTTTCAATTCTGTACAATTCTGTAAATTAATGGATCCTACCCCCTGTAAGACCTAAATATCATCTCTTTAAATATTTCGAGAACTTTTCCCCTAACGTCTCGATCAAAGATCCACGAGTCGAATTGTCTCGTTTCAAAGATTCAGCCCAGTGCAGCTGCTCTCCAACGTCACCCCAGCGTGGGTAACGTTCTGGCGAGAGCATCCAGCTTTGGAACTGGAACTGGACCGATTTTGCCACGGCAAATGAGCAGCAGCAGCAACGATAACTCGGAATCGTCCACGGTTTCTCGACAGCTGTCGTTGGGCGCCACCACCCCCAAGCAGCCTGGAGAGGGTGGCCAGAGGCAGAGCGTTCCAAACGCCACTGGAAACGGTGTCCTCCGCCAGGGATCTCAAGGATCGCTGTTCGAGCAGATCGCCACTCAGGCGAAGGACCTGGTTCGCGAAACCACCAGACAGAGCAGTCAGGATGGGATACTTGCTCAGATGGATAAGGTAGGATAATAAATTTTTTTTTATTTTATTGTGGTTAATAGACTGTAGATGTTCATAGAATTTCATTCATAACTATTGTTATTGCAAAGTTCCTATTTTTGTAATGTAATAATTATATTATATATATATATATTTATTTATTTATATTATATAATAATTATTATATATATAATAATATTACATATATTATTATATATATATTTATTTATATTATATATATATATATATATATATATATATATATATTTATATTATATAATAATTAATTTTGTAACCGCAAGGAATTACGATGGAGTCTTCCACATTTCATGATACATGATTTTGTGATGTTTCCGTTTGCAAAAATTTATGTACACTTTCATTGGTTAAAACTATTGTCGCTGATAAAATAATTTTTGGAAAAAGATATAACCGACTTCGACAAATATTAAAACTGCACTAAAAAGTATGAAATAATTTCTAGTTAATTGATATTAATACTCATCAGTTTTAGATACAATTGCTTAAAAGTATGAAATAATTTCTAGTTAATTGATATGAATACTCACCAGTTCTAGATACAATTGCTTAAAAGTATGAAATAATTTCTATTTCCTTTATATTAAATTATGTTCAATAATCTTTTCGTAGTCCACGCAAAATGAAACATTTTTAATTCTGTTTGAGTTAGTTTTTGGTGAGGCCGGTAATATTGAATGCTGTTAATGTATACATGTATACTGTCTGAGAGGGTTTACATATAGTATATAGTAATAATACGGTATAATATTGCATACAGTTAATGTATATACTACATACCTACATGAAAATACTGTCTGACTAGGTTTGAGATAGTATTTGGTGAAGGTGGCGACATTGAATAATCTTAATGTATATGGCATCTAAAGTATATATAACGATAGCAATAATTTAAGGGTGTATGTTTTGTCACTTGAACAGAAAGTTAAACCAAGTTTGGTAATTTTGAATGCAAGTAAAAGGTTATTTAACATAATTTAATATAAAGGAAATAGAAATTATTTCATACTTTTTAGTGCAGTTTTAATACTTCTTCAAAGTCGGTGATATTTCTTTTCCAAAAATTATTTTATTATGTGTTTGGATATAGTAGAATTAACAATTTCTAATTTTATTGTGATAAATAGACGGTGGCTCAGTGCAACAGCTACTTTAATAGTTAATCAGTAATCGCTTAATAAAGAAACTAACTGTCTAACTAAACTAGGAATGTTTCCGGAAATTCATATTGTTATTTACATAGATGAAGCACAGTAATCACTTTTTAATCTTATCGTAATGAATAGACTGTGGATGTTTTGTGGAAATTCATATTTTTATATACATGGATGAGGCACGATGATCACTTTATAATTTTATTGTAATCAATAGACTGTGAGTGTTTTTGGAAATTGATATTTTGTATATGCACACATGAAGAACAGAAACATAGATTGAACTATGTTTGGTCTCCTAAATACAATTTTATTTTACAAAAAAAACAATTTTATTTTTACCGTTTTCAAACCTTATGCATTTGTGCACATCTTCGTATGTTCATGCGTATTTACACTTGTCATAAATGCACAAATATCCACAGTTTAGATCTTGTTCTGTGAACAATGCGACGAAACAGTTCACACCTTTCTGTGTAAACTCTCTTAAACTCCAAAATTTAATTTCATAAACAACATACAAATATTGTTTCACAATTAGAAATCTTGAAATGAGACCTTAAAACTTCCTATTCATTTGTCTACTCAACAGTTGAAACACCAGGCGAAGGAGAAGATCACAGAGGCAGGCGAGGAGAGTCTGTTTGCTCCTCTAGAGCAGGTAAGCATCGTTTTAGAAACACATCGTAGAAACAGTGACTTAATCTTGATCCATTGAATCTAATTCTTCATCGAAATTGCGAGCAGCTGACGCAGCAGACGAAAAAAGCCATGGGCGAGGCGACAAAGTCCGTGCAGGAGGCTTCGAAAACCGCTTTGGAGGCCAGTAAAACCGCTGCAGGGGTGAGCAAGAACACATTCGACGACCTAACGTACGTGGGCAAGAGCACTTTCGGAGACTTTACCAAAAGTGCCAAGGAAGCTGCTGCGAAGAAGGGCTTGATCAAGGTTTGCAAATTTTGAAAAATAAGAAGCAATTAAAATTATTTACCTTGGACAGTATCACTTTTAGAAACGTATTTGACGAATTCCAATGCAATTACTAGACTCCAGATTTGATGCATTTATGGTGTACAATAATGTAGATAACGTACAAGGTATGATCAAAAAGTAAGGTGACTTTTTATTTTGTTCAACAAATATTTATTTATTCTTCAATATTTATATTGTCTCCTTCAAAGTAATCCCCCGCAGATATAATACACTTGTGCCAGCACTTTTTCCAATCCTCGAAGCAATTCTGATAAGCACTTTTTGGTATAGCGTTGAGCTGTTTCAGCGATGGTGCCTTTATCTCCTCAATCTCTTCAGTTTTGGGAACAAGAAAAAGTCGCAGAGAGTCGCAAATCTGGTGAATTCATTCTCAAGTCTCATGTCCAAAACATCCATTAAAATTGCTTGGCACAAACTAAACAGGATGCCAACATCATCAGCGACTTCTCTAATCGTAATTCGACGATTCCCCAAGACTATCTTTTTCACTTCTTCAACGTTTTCATCAGTTGTTGACGTGCAGGAGCGTCCAGGGCGACCTTCGTCATTGACATTTTCTCGGCCTTCTTGGAAGAGCTTGTACCACTTATAAACATATTTTTTACTCAGAGTACACTCACTGTATGTCACTGTCACATTTCAAGTGTTTTGAAGCACTTAGTTCCATTTTTTTACACAAAATTTGATGCAAATTCTTTGATCCATTTTTTTCGATAGCAGAAAATCGTCGAACACGCAAAACACTTTGTTAAGTAATGTTTATTTAATTTATATTGTATTTTTCATTGGAACTGTATTATTGTGTTATTTTGCTATCAGTCATGTGATAGTTTTGTATAGATTCTTTTGGTTATAATCATTCATAGTCAGTTGTGCCAATGGTAAAATAGTTATAATGTTCTTCTTTTGTTTCTGCGAAGTTATGATTTTGATAATTCTTTTTTACATACTTGTTATCTTGACCATGGCTTTGAGTGTAATGACTTGACCCTAGAGCATTTTTGTTACATTCTTCTCTCTGGTTTTGTTGCATTTCTACTATAGACAGTCTCAATATCAAATTTTCTTTTGTACGTTGGTCTTCAGGCATAGATTCCCAAGCACTCATGAAATGGTCATAACCCTCAGGGAGAGTCAAAAGAATCTTCGTCATCAGCATCTTATCAGATATATTTTCACTCATGACTTTTAATCTGTGTGCTATGACTTCCAATTTCTACATGTGTGTCGCTATATCATCCTCTGGATGTTTAACGGACGTATACCATTGTTGCTGTAATGCATATATCCTAGTTTCTGATTTTTTTTCGTAGACTGCAACAAGTTTATCACACATGCTTTTAGAATTATCACAGTTAATGATATGCATCACACTCTGCTCAGAAATGGTAGTAGCGAATATCTTTTGTACAATGGGATCTGGTTTGTACCATGCAGCTTTGCTTTTCGCATATTCTCTTTTGGCTTCTGCGCTTGCATTTGCATCCAATGCAACTGGAACTGCTTTTCCTTTTACAACATCCCAACCTTCACAGGATTTCAACAGGATTGTCATTTGGAATTTCCAGAGGTTCCAATTATCACTACCTTCCAATTTTTGTTATCCTTGCCAATTCATGTGCCATGATTACGATTTTTGAGATTAGATTTCTTTTTTGCACTAAGGCTGAAATTTCCTCAAAGCACACAAGAAACGTATGTATATTTTCAGGCATCTACTGGGTCCATAACCTGTTAGAATATGTGATTATATGGGCTGAATGAGCAAAGACTTTCTTGATTATTATAGATTTATTAAGAAGGGTGCAAAAACGTGTCTCATCACTGTAGATGTTCAATTGCAGAAACAAAAGAAGAACACGCTTCTAACCTTTATGATTCTCAAAAATAAACGAAAATAAAATAATTTTTTGGAAAAAAATTTAACCGACTTCAAAAAAGGTACAGTGAAAAGTATGAAATAATTTCTAGTTAATGTATATGAATACACACTAGCTCTAGATATAACTGCTTAAAAGTATGGGAAAATGCAGTGAAAAGTGTGAAATAATTTCTATTTAAACTGCATTGTTAGTCACCATCGTTTGATGAATTTGGTTAAATTATTAAATACATCATATTTTAAATACATCAAAATTTAGAATTAAGTATATTAAAAATTGCTAAACTTGGTTTAACTTTCTGTCGGAGAAACACAAAATATGGTCTTTATTTATTGCTATCATTACATCCACTTTGACATCATATTCATTAACACTATTCAATATCGCCGCCGCCACAAAATACTATCCCAAACCTATTCAGACAGTATTTCCATGGGTAGAGTATACAAAGTGTCGTTGAATTAGTGTAAGAACCGGAAATGGGGGGTAGCTGAGACAATTCTGAACCACAATTTCCTTTGCGGATAGTGCTTCGTTTACGTTAATATTCGACACCATTCGAAATTTTTGCAAACAAAATCGTAGTTCAGCATCGTCTCAGCTATCCCCAAAATTAAATATTATCAAACTTGGTTTAACTTTATGTTCGAGGAACAAAAAATATGACGATAATTATTGCTATTACTATATCCGCTTTACACATCGTATTCATTAACACTATTCAATATCGCCGCCCCCACCAAATACTATCCCAAACCTATTCATACAGTATTTCCATGGAGAGAGTTTATACATTAGCAGTAATCAATATTGCCGCCCCTCCCCTTCAAAAAAGCCCCAAATCTACTCAAACTATATTTCCGTGTACATACTATAGACAATAAACATGTATACATTGACAGCATTCAATATTGCCGCCTCTACCAAAAGCTAACCCAAACCGGAATTAAAAATTTTTTACATCTGCGCCGCCTCCGAAAAAGGTGCATTGCATTTAATATGATGTATTTAATAATTAAACCAAATTCATCAAACGATGGTGAATAACAATGCAGTTTAAACAGAAATTATTTCACACTTTTCACTGCATTTTCCCACACTTTTAAGCAGTTATATCTAGAGCTAGTGCGTATTCATATACATTAACTAGAAATTATTTCATACTTTTCACTGTACCTTTTTTGAAGTCGGTTAAATTTTTTTCCAAAAAATTATTTTATTTCACTCTTTTTAGTGGCAATCTATAATCAATAGGTTTCATGCAATAACAACAGTTATGAGCAATATACAGGATGACCCAAAAACGTTGGAGGTCCTTGAAAAGACTTGTTCCGCGGGGGAAGGGGGGTTGAAACAATTTTTTATTAGCGAAAATGTTGCTCGAGGCTTCGTTAAGGAGATATTTTGACAGAAACAGAAACTCCCGACCAATCAGAGCGCGAGTATGCCGGTGGAGCGCCTGCGGTAGCATAGGCCCCGCAGGCGCTCCTTGATTGGTCGGGGATTTCTGTCAATATCTCCTTAACGAAGCCTCGAACAACATTTTCGTTAAGAAAAAATTGTTTCAACCCCCCCCCCCCCCCCGAAAAACCTCATTCAAGGACATTCAACATTTTTTGGACACCCTGTATAATTGCAAATAGGATTATCAGGAATACATCCGCAAATACATGTGAAAGGATTGATTGCGTTTGGTAAATTCCTTGTCGAGCTGCACCAGAGCATAGCAATTTCGCACCAACAATGATTTTATAAACAATAAAAGTGTCCATAAATTTTTGCAAATAGTAACATCACGAATTCATGTATCATGAAATGCGGAAGGTTCCATCGCGCTCGGTAATTTCCTCGCCGAGTTACATCATATAATAGGAATTTTGCGATAACAATAGTTATAAACAATACAGAAATTCATAAATTTTTGCATCTGTGATCATTTCGAAAACCTCTCCGGCAGTAAAATGTAAGGGGTTTCATCGATTTCATCGGTTTCAGACCAAACATACGTGAAATAGTACGCTTTTTGCGATAAAAAGTGATATAAAGTGGTAAAAAATAAGACAAGGACAAATGTTTTGCTATGGGACCAAATGGCAAATGCTCTTCCAAAAAGTTTCAATTCGATTGGTCCATCCGTCTCGGAGTACGAAGCAAGACAAAACGTTTCTGTTTAAAAAAAAAACGGGTAAAAAAAGACAAATCACAAAATGTTTCTTTTACGCGACCAACTGGAAGAAATATTCGACAAGATGCAAGAAGTTTCACTCCGATTCATCAAGCCATCTCGACGTAATCTGCAAGCATACCTAAAAATCACAGTCTTTTGGTCAAAAGCCGGTTAAAAAAATGACAAATCGCAAAAAGTCGTGATAATGGGACCACCGGGGGGGGGGGGGGGGG